TTTTTCTTCTGGAGATAGTCTTATTTGTTTTATTTCGGCTAGAATAAAAGTAGTTATTTTTTTTAAAAACCATTTTTAGGACTAAATTATTAGGCCCTTTAAGCTAATTTTTTTTTCGATAGTCTACAGAACAAACCATCATCATACAATAACTTGCCTAATTACCCTAACCTGCCTAGTTTACCTTATTAACCTAGTTAATCCTTTAAATGTCACTTTAAGCTGTATAGAAGTGTCTTGAAAAATATCAAGTAAAATATTATTTACTGTCATCATGGCAAAGACAAAATAAATCTGTTATTAGAAATAAGTTTTTAAAACTATTATGCTTAGAAATGTGCTGAAACAATCTTCCCTCCATTAAACAGAAATTGGGGAAAAAAATAAACAGGGGCGCTAATAATACAGGGGGGCTAATAATTCTGACTTCAACTGTGTGTGTGTGTGTGTGTGTGTGTGTGTGTGTGTGTGTGTGTGTGTGTGTGTGTGTGTGTGCGTGTGTGCGTATGTATATATATATATATATGTATGTATGTATGTATGTATGTATTATTATTATTTTTATTTATTTATTTTTTTGAGTAGAACAATTGCCAGTAAAGTCAATAAAGTTACCAAAACTGCATTTTGCTGTTTTACGCTATCTGTTAAACTTTTGGTTAGGCAGCAATTGATTGAGACATAATTATTATTATTATTATTATTATTATTATTATTATGCCTATTATCAAACTATAGTATTTTCATAGCAATTTAAATAATATATTCTAATATACAATAAGAAACAAAAAGAAGGAGCTTTAAAACTCTGGGGAAGAATGTCTGAGTGCATTAATTACATCAGTTTTCCACTTTTTTTACATACTAGACTGTTAAAAGGGCCATCCTATGAATTGTCAGTCACAGATATTGCCCCCAGCCAAGTTGAGTTTAAGAGCCCTGGTGTATGGCCAAACATAATTATATGCTCTGTATAAATACACAAATTACATTACATTACAATATTTGATATTGAGTGATAAAAGCAGTACTTGGTATTGGATATATTGAGTAATGTGTTCTTGGTTCTTAACTTTATTATCAATTACTCTGAAACAGTAAGAGTGAGAATTGAGATAATATATTTTATTTTCATTTACTTCTTTATCATTGCTTTAGAAGAAGGTAAAATAGGCAAAACCACCAAACCGCTGGTGTGGGATATCACTCTGCATAATCTGCCATAAGTATTGACTGATAAATGTAATATTGTGCATCTCTATTTAATATGCTTTGAATGCATATGTTTTTATGCACAGTGTTTAGTTTGATGCGGAAACCAAAATAGGACATCTTGTCTTACTTTGACCCATATTTGATGCTTCACAATGCTCCTGTGTAGCTGTATTTTTATTCTGGTTAAATGTGCTGGGGACAAAAATGCAGCTCTTTTTACAAGACGTTTTAATATTGTCTTGTTTTTATGCATTTAAAAGTCCAATATACAGTAGTGGTTGTCTAGACACATTACTGTAGCACAAAAGCTTTTAGTGTCTACCCTGACCCTGTCATCTTAGTCAACAATGTCTATTTAACACACAAGTCACCAAGATTTTCTCCTATTAAAAGCATTTTTCAGAGCACAATCGCTCAGCTTCTCTCATAATGTGTCTCTCCCTGTGGCTGTCAGCCCTCTCAGACAGACTTTCTCAAGACCACAGAGCATTGCTTAAAACCCTTCACTGCCACTCTGACTCAATCATTCAGTGACCGCGCTGATCCCCTTGCCTTATCCGACGCATGCGAGTGAGTGAATGTGCGCAGAGCGGGGGGTGTCATTTGTGAAATTCAGCTCTGGCAAAACCAGAGCAGACTGGCAGCACATGTGGGCCAGTTCAGAGATGAGTGCTTATTGAGTAATCTAATTCAGGGGCTCACCCCAGACCCTGGAGCTCAAACACATGCTCATCTAGCGGTCAGCGTATGTTGACAGAACTCGCAAGCCCCAGCCTATATTATCCATGAGGCTTTCCTTAATGGACATTCTTCAAAGAAAAGTTTCCATAAGGAACCGTACTGATTCTATCAAAAAAAGAAAGGTTCTGCTATATACAATATTTCATTTTATTGGTACAGTATCACTGGTTTCACATCCATTACATTTTTTATTATGCTGAAGGTTTGTTAGATTAGTGCTTACTAAAGTGGAGGTTGGATGACATTAGGCAAGGGGTTGCTTAATTTGATTAATAATTTGATTAAAAGATTATAATTACCATATTTTAACCATAACTAACTAAACAATAATACTTAATGTATACATTTAAAAACATGCAAATAAAAACCCATCAATCTTTACATTTTTCCATTCTATGAGACCCCTGGGGTGATTATATTACACTTAACAACACAGCAACAGCATCAATTTCAGCTGATTGACTTTACAGAGCCAACTTTCCGAAACCTTTTCATCACTCACATACATTAAAAATAAATACAGGTCACAGGATGATCTCTAAGTGGCAGTCTCCATAATTAAAGCAAGAATGGACTTGCTTTGCTCCAGACATTGTGCCCACCCATCTCATTAGGTGAGGATTAACTTGAAATTAAATTAATCAAAAAATTATGTTTGTTAGACTTTGCATTTTTTTGTGTTGTCAATATTCTTAGATTTATGTAGGCCAATTAGTGTGTATGTACACCTATGCATGCAATGTTTGTATATTTACAACCATTTCTGAGGATAGTGGAGTCAACGGCATTGTTATTTTGGGATGAAAACTTTCATTAAAATGTTCTTCGAGAAACCAAAAATATTTCTTCTAGTATCACTGGAAATAGACGGCATAAACCACATTTCTCTTATATAAGAAAAAAAAAACTTTGCTAGTCATATGTATTCACTGTCTTGTAAATGACATTAACAAGGTATATTAGTTCCATAATGTAACAGGATATTCCGGGTAGTCTAACCCTAAAGCTAATTGCTGAATCATTCACAGTATTGTAAAACCTGGAACTTGTGATATGACAGTACTGCATTGTGAGAGCATGTTGACTTGTGGGAGCAAAGAAAACATTTGGCATTTTTGCATGCAAATGATCGTCGCAGCTTGTAAACAGATGTGGCTAAAGTTAATAAGTTATATTTAAAGATGGCCTCAGGCTAAGATGGCAAACTCATTAAACTCACTAGAAAAGGTCCACCCTTCCTCTGTCAACATATTCCTTTTTCACCACACCCCCAGCGAGACGCTAACTCATTCCTTCGGTTTTCTCACTTCCCTTTGACTTGCTGCTTCCTACCAGAAGACAACTTCTCTGACCCCCATCACATCAGCAATTTTCCCCAGTGCTAAATTTGATCATTCTCCCGGGTACACCCTGACACCTTGCACTGTGAACTCAATTATCACTCTCATACACATCCCACAGACTAGCAGAACACTTTTATTTTTAACTCCCCAACACTAATTGATATTCCAGGCTAATGTACTACTTGGAAGTTCTTGTTGTGAGTCGAGGGAAAAGGTTTAGGGTAGAGCACACCAGTATGGAGTCTTTGAACTCACAGATAAGCAATTAGCTTCACCACATGGTGAGAGAACGTATGTGGTTAGACTGCCGTTTAGAAGAGTGAATTCTGAGTTCTAACACAAACACACCTGTAATTAACATTGGAGTCTAATACAATCAGGTTTACTCTGTAAATATCATTTGGTATTAATTCCTGTGGAGCTTGCTGGAAAGACCAGCATAGACTTGAATGGCCAACAAACCAGCTTCAAAATGTACCCCTAAGAAATGGGACACCACTACAGCACCTGCACATGTCATCATATGTCATCACGATCTCTTGCTTCATACGAGATCGTTGATCACGACTGCTGTAGTTATTCCAGTTGCGTTTTTTTTATCTTCAGGAAATCACTGAAGGCATATATTATTTTATCATAACAATCTAATGTGGCAATAAGATCATAACTGTATTGTGCATTTACACCGTGGCCATATTTATCTGTGTAGACAAACAAAAACAGCATTAACATTATACCAGATACTGTAAAAATGTCCCCCTTTCTGACCGAGTATTCGAGTGTCATCGAGTGACAGAATGTTGTGGGACTGCTGTACATTAGTTATTATTATGAATCATAGATAGCGAATTTTAGCTTTTTTTATTGTAGGTTTTTTTTTTTTTTTTTTAAACGTCATGGTAAAACATGAACGTGGTTATGAATGTATTAAAACATGCGCTTATTTGTTGTAAAAATTCATAATTATGACAAAAAATACTAATTTTTGCATCTTCTTACTTCTGGGTGCAGCCATGCTGCTGTTGTAGATGATGTATTCTGGGAAATTTTCTAACCCCTTGGTTTCAAGTGCGATCCTGAAAAATTTGAGGCTTCTCCTTAGCCCTACGCCTTCAATTAAAAGAGAATTAGGGCCACCCTACCCCTTCACATGAATGTGCAAAACAAGGTGTAGGGGTAACCGGTAGAATTGGGATTGGGCCTTAATGTTATAGTGTAACACCTCGCCCAATCTTATAATGGAACATATCTGTCTTATTATCTAACTTATTGTCAATTTCATTGATATGAAAACATCCTCATTGGGGGATGAGTGTACAATTTAGCCGCTCAAAAAGTAATGATTTGCTCTACGATTGCAATGGTAATACCTTTTGTGAAAGTACTAACCTAATGACATCTTTTAAACCAGCTTAGGTTGGTTTATGATTGGATAAGCTAGTAAAAAAAAACTGAGTTAGATGACTAAGTAGGTACTGTTACAGTATGTCTCTGAATAGCCTGAGTGCAACTGAATGCTTGTGTGCTAAAGGAAATGTGGTAGTGGGATGATAAAAGCAGTTTGTTTGTCAGTGCTATGGATGGGATGAGTTTACTGCAGAGATGTACGCAGCCTAGAACAGATAACTTTGAGTTCATGTGTCTCAGTTTACATTATCTGGCTGCACCAAGGGCTCCAATATAAAATGGAATTGTCCTTACCGTCTGGTTGTCTTCATAAAGTTTGAGGTCATAGCCGCTCAGCTCCACACAGAATATAATGGCAGTCACACCCTCAAAACAGTGGATCCACTTCTTCCTTTCTGAACGCTGGCCACCCACATCCACCATTTTGAAGGTGAGCTCTTTGAAGGTGAACTTGTTCTCAACAATGCCGGTGGTCATGTCACGTGAGCGCAGAATGTCCTCGACAGTTGGGATGTACTCTGGGGCGGAAATGCGGTCCAGGTCATTTAGATAATATGCTGTATTGTCCTCTAGGTGGTACTCATTAGAGCGGCAGAAACACTCCTGGACGCCTGGATCAGCCCACAATCGCTTCATCACCCCCAGGAGCTCTGGCGTGATCTCGCCCTTGCTCTCAGCCGGCCCGGTGAGGGCAAAGAGTTGCACTGCATCATAAGCACGATCAGGGTTATGGAAGTCTATCTTCAAGGTGGCGAGGGCACGGATGATGCGGGTGAGTGAGTCAATGGCGTTGTAAAGGATGAGAGGCTTGTATTCCTTGCAGGCCTCTAGGTTGAAGCCTCCACTATGGATGATCTTCATCTGCTTCACGATGGTGCTCTTGCCTGAGTTGCTGGTGCCTAGAAGCAGAAGTTTAATTTCACGACGCTGTCGCTGGCTTTCTGATCGTAGGTGTCTATCGATGCGCCTTGAACGTCTGGCGGCCTCCTTCTCCTCTGTACTCTGCCGGCACCCCATAGTTGGACTTCGCTGGTAATCCCAGAGAGAGGGAGAATGGATGGTGAAAAGTATGCAATGCAATATGTTGATACAGTTGAGCTGTTCCTACAGTAAGCGTCTGCCAGATTGGTGTTAGAAAACTTTCATTGTGCAAGTCTACAGTTTAGTTTTTTTTTTCAAGGGTTGATGTTTTGGTGTGCAGTGCTACCATGACATGGCGAAAGCCACACTCAGGCCCTGGCATTAGGGCTTGTTTGATTTGGAGATCCCAAGAATTTGAGGTTCATATCAGGGGACTTATCCCCTTAGCACGGTGGGCTTTTAGTGGACTTGTCAGTGTTCATCAAGAGAAAGTCGGAACCGTAAAATTCCTTCACTCTCCTCCCTCATGGCGTCCAGTGTGATTGCTTGAATTTCTGTGACTCATTCATCCATTGACAGCTCCTCCCTCCCTTAGTTTTCTTCAGAACGTTCCATCCGATGGACTGTCAGACCTTTGTTTTTGTGAACTGTTTCGGGCATCTGTGTACTAGACTGTCCTGCTTACATAAGCCAGTGAGGCAGCTAAAAGCCCTCGTTCCTGTTGGTAAAAAACAAGACATTAGTAATCATGAAACAAAGATGAGGGCCAGTAAACCTTAAAAGTAAATGAAGAAACTTTAAACCCTCTGGACTGGACAATGTTGCAACAAAATAAAACTGTAATCACTTCTTGACAAGTTTAAAGTCAGCGTAATAAATACATTCATGATCCAGTTTTACCTTCACAATGTGAGGTGTTCTTCTGAATAAAACAGAATATACAAAGAGGAAAAAGCTCAGCAACTAGACTTTGTCTGTAAGGAATTGGTTGAGAGTCAAGTGGGCGTTTCATATCAGAATAGAGTCATACAAAGGAGCCGGGGACTTTTTGGACCAGAGCCTGCAGGCTGAAGGTCAACGTCATCTTTAAGGGCTTGTATTTGCAACCCAACAAATATGCTTCTTTGTAAATCTATTGTTATTTGCAATTAGCTTGGTAACTACACAGTCTTAGTAATGAAAATCAAAGACAAAATCCAAGTAAACTAAGCAATATTTTGGTAAGACATTAGCATAGTTCATTGCTGTTAGCTCTGCAATACATCATACTTCTGCTTACACACATACAGACACACATACATACATACACACACACAAACCTCAAGTCTTAGTCGGTATCAAAATCTAACCTTCTACTTAGTAAACCTGTCCCATCATGCAGTCTCTTCTCACTTGCGTCTCTCTGTCACCAAATATTCAAGTCTGCCAAGTAGGCTATCATCACACAAAGCTTACACACACACATTTGTTCTCAAACAAATATATTCACGCACACACACACACACACACACACACACACACACACACACACACACACACACACACACACACACACACACACACATTAGACACACAAGCAGAAGCAGGCATGGTGTGAAACGGAAACAGATGTGAGATGAATGTCCTTCCCTGAAGCAAAAGGTACCGCCCATTCTACTCTCCGCTTCCCCAAGCCTCAACCACTGAGCTAACTGATAGCAGGTGAACTGTTTATTTACTGTCATGGTGGAAAATAACTGGCACAGGCCAGCAGGTGCCTCACTCCAGCTCATTCCAATGTAATAAATGCAACAAACCCCTTTAGAGATCCGCCAGTAATAATTGTACGGCAGGGCTCAACAATAAAGATGTTTTATGCTACCTCAGGCTAGTCAGTGTTTTTACTCCTACTCATGTTTCCACAATTTTAAATGTCAGAAAGAAATGTATTACATATTTATAATAATATTATTTATTTATTGCACATAAGCAATGCAAGTAATTCCATTGTTTAACTGAATAATAAAAAATAGTACATTTCAGATTAGAATAAAATATTGAATTTGTGCTGATTTTTGAAAGAAATTCAGAAAAAAGCAAGTATGGCAGTGCAAATTCTTCCTACAACTCTTTTGCTACAGCTTTATTTTGTGTATCAGAGTGTTGTGAAGGGGCAGCTATAATGGGGATTGAATCACATCACTGATATCAACTTCTGTCTATCAAGTCTGAGAATCCCATTTTACACGGAATATGTTTACTCACTATCCTTTGGCTCCGTCCCTGGTTTTTTAGGGGTCACCACAGCGAATTGAGCCGCCAGAATATGTGAATATCTACCTAAATAATAAAATACGTAGTTTATTAAAGAAAACACCCAGGATACCCCAGAAACAAAGTATCATGGAGAAACCACAGTAACAACAGAACATTGGCACCCAAGAACTAGTCATAACACCCTGGCATTAACATAGCATCACCCAAAGAATGCCTTAGCAACTACAAAGAAAGTCAATACAAAGCTATTAATGACACCCTAGCAACAGCATGACAATGATAGAGCAACTACTCAAAACACCTTAGCAATTGCATAGTAACATCAGAGCAACCTCAAACCACCAAAACACCCTAACAAATGCGTTGCAGCATCCTAACAACCACTCAATACCATTTAGCAATTACCCAGCACAATGTGGAGACCACCAGAACACCCTGACAGCAGCACAGCAACACCCTATCAACCACTCAAAACCATTTAGCAATTATGCAACAAATCTGAAAACCAAGCAACCACCTCATGCATATGATCTGCTCTGATGATGTGTTGCATCTCTTTAGGCTAAAGCAGACCATACTTACGCACTGTAGTGGATCATGTGACATTAATTTAAAGGCAGACTTCATTCACCCCAAAGGAAATTATATTGACATGGTTCTGTTTTGGAGAACACTAGAATATGGGGCACCTATGAGACAAAATCAACTTTTGGAAGCTGTTTATATAGAAATATGTAGGTATAGCTTATTGTATACAGTAGGGATGTCAATTTCCTTAAATTCTCATGATCGATCATCATTAATCTTTAATCAATTAATTAATTAATTAATTAATTGCTAGCCTTAATAATGTGAGATGTGTCCAACACAAGCTCATTGTGAAAACATACTCCTGTATACAATTCTTGAGAGCACAAATTATGTAGCCAGCTGTGTATGGCTGCATTTTGTCTTTAAAACGAAAGCATGGGGTGGTCTAATGCTGCTGATGGCTTCAGGTTAAAGTCCCTGGCGTCTGGCTGAGATCAAGACCTTTTATTATGTTTAGCTTGCCAAAGTGATCTACTCCCGGGAGGGGATAAAAAAAATCAAGGGCTGTGCGATTTACTTCCAGAAGGTATTTGAAATTGGGGGGCACGTAATTAGAGCTGTGAAGCTTAACTTTTCTATATCAAGTGAAAAGTTCTATGTGAATCTAAGTGAATCTGTTAGAGACATCCAATAGATTAATGGGTACTGAAAAAGTCCACAGAGGGGGGTGATCATCAGAATGGGAAAGTCCCAGAGTAAAATGAGGAAATATGATACACTGGTGTTTTGGAATATAGAAAAACTGTCTTTACCATGTTTTCATCTGTTTTATATAATTTGTTTCCATTTTATTTATACTTGTCTCTTTTATTCCTGTTTATGTAAAGCAGTCTGAATTGCCACTGTGTGTGAAATGTGCTATATAAATAAACTTGGCTTGCCTTGCCTTACTAGTTTGCCCAGTAGCTTGCTGCATACGTTAGCGAACTTGGGACGCAGAGAGTAGTTGACTATGATGACGGGGTTCAAGTCTAGCGAAGAGCGGCTTCAAAACAAAATCCAAAAATAAATAACAAAAAAGTAAATAACAGGGTGAGAACTTGGTAAGATCTGAAAATGTGGTAAAAAATCAGGCAGCTGCGAGGGCTTTTATTTTTCTGGATTGCTTTTGAAAACACTGTTGGTTGGGTTTAGAGAAGTGGGTGGGCGGGTCAATCTGTGCTTTTGAAAACACTATCGGTTGGGTTTAGGAAAGGAGGTGAGTGGGGGGATTGGTCAGTCTGTGCGTCGGTCAGTCGACAGCGCTCTCTGGTGGATTTATGTGAGAAGAGCAGGCGTGTGTGAAAGAAATTTGTATGACTAATAAGAAATTAAATGACTAATATTGCCAGATACACAACTGGTGCATGTGTGTGCTCATCTGAGAGGAAGTTGAAAGTCAGAATAAGTCAGAAAAAGTATTGTTTAATTATACCCATTATATAAATTATAGACATGCAATATTGGTTGTTGTTTTTGTGACAAGAAATTTCATTGAAAAGAAAATAACATAGAAGCCATTACCTCATCCATGGTTAAACCAACAACTAATAAAATACCATTGTGAATATTATGAACCCCACCACCACCGTTCTTGTTGAAGGACACTGAAAAGACAGAATAAAAACAAATAATACTTCAAAAAACGGTTCTTCTTCTGAAAGAACTTCTTTCCAATGCACAGAATTCCAAAAACTAAAACTAGCTAAATAAATCTAAATAAAACCCTGCCTGGGAGATCTGGCAGAACAAAAGTATTGTATGTAATACTTAACAGATACAGCCCTGCTTTTGTCATCTGCCTGCCACAAAACAGACACAAAGTTTTTTTTTTTTACTTTTTTTATGTTTGAAACTGACTTGCTGGGGCAGAATGTAACTGTGTTGATGGTTTGGCGCTTGTGGAGGATTTAGCAGAACATAGCTGTGCTGATTGAGGGGATTGATGCTTGTGGGGGGTTCACAGACAGTATCAGGAGAGGATGCTTTTAGTGCATGTGATAATACATTACATAGAGGGTTGCGCAGTGGCACAGTAAGTAGCACTGTCGCCTCACAGCAAGAAGGTTGCTGGTTCGAGTCTCGACTGGGTTCTCTCCATGTTGGCGTGGGTTTCCTCCGGGTGCTCCAGTTTCCCCCACAGTCCAAACACATGCAATATAGGTGAATTGGGTAAGCTAAATTGTCCCTATTGTATGTGTGTGAAAGAGAGTGTATGGATGTTTCCCAGTGCTGGGTAGCAGCTGGAAGGGCAGCCACTGCGTAAAACATATGCTTGATAAATTGGTGGTTCATTCCACCGTGGCAACCCCAGATTGATAAAGGGACTAAGCCGAAAAGAAAATGAATGATTATGGATAGAAGATGTTGACAGATGTTTAATATCTCTGCCTCTGCTGATTTCACTTTTGCACACATTATACAGTATCACTTTGTTTTATCATTGTGTCACCAGCCTAGAAATGTTTCCTCTGCAGTTTGTGTCTGTGGTGCTTTAAGATAATCAAAAATCACTGTTTACCTGGTAGACTCTTGATCAGAGTAGTGTCTTCATATTAAAATCAGGGTATTGGTGTCCATGTAAACATACTCGCTGAAAATGCCAGATGATGTCACAAGCTGTCAAAGACATTTTTATTCCTCACCTTTAAGCTGATTCCATGAGCCCTCAAGATTCATAAGTTTGAAGTGTTTCCTCCCTTATACGCATCTTTGTAAAGCATCTACTGCATGTTGGTGTGTCAGAATCCTTGCTTGTGAAATATAGCCATTCTTTAGAATGCTTAGTTTAAGCAAATTAGATGAACGCAAAAATGCGTGTTGATAAAGGGAGTCGCTCGCCGCATGCGCCTACTGCGCGCTTTGCCTTCTATAAGCTACAATAAAAAATGC